TGAACTCACAGAGATCCGCCTGCCTCTGCCTCCCAAGTGCTGGGATTAAAGGCATGAGCCACTATGCCCCGCCATACCCAGTTTTTTATGTGGGTGCCAGGAATCCTAACTCAGGTCTTCACGCTTGCATAGCAAGCACTTTACCCACCAATCTGACTCCCCTGATCTGCAATTGCATCTTACAAACTGTGCCAACATTAACAGGACATTTGATTATCTTCTTTTTTTTTTTTTTTTTTTTTTTTTTGGGTTGTTTTGAAACGGGGTTTGTCTGTAGTCCAGGCTGGCCTGGCACTCACTATGTCACCCAGGCTGGCCTTGAACTCACAGAGATCTTCCTACCTCTGCCTCCTGAGTGCTGGGATTAAAGGCATGCACCACCATGCCTGGCAACATTTGATTATCTTATCTGAAGCAGGACTAGAAGAGGAGACAGTGGTTCCCTGCCCTGGAGAGGGGTTCTGTTGAGATATCAAGGGGCCAGGCACCCAGATAATGCAAGAATGAACAATTCAAATGTGGCCTGCCCCCCTCACTTTCTCTTAAGTCATTCCTTTTTATGGATATGAATTTACTTTCTTTCCCTCTTGATGAACATCATAAAGTCCCAAAACAGCCAAGACCCCATGGGTTCTCAAGGTTGCATGCAGTCAACAAACACCCTTAATATGTCTATCTAAATGGATTAAATTATTTTAATATATTATTTATTATTTTTATTTTTGTGTGTGTATGAGAGTATTGCCTTCATGTATGTAAGTGTACCCATGTCCTGCAATGCCTGCAGAGGTCAGAAGAGGGCATCGGATTCCTCTGGAACTGGAGTTATAGATGGTTGTTAGCTGCCAGGTAGGTGCTGGGAATCAAACCTGGGTACTCTGCAAGAGCAGCCAGTGCTCTTAACTGCTGAACCATCTCTCCATCCCCCTCTAAATGGATTTTTGAGATCGCACCCCCCTCTTTACATGTAGCATGATCCACTGTACCTCTATTACAGCTTTCATCCTAATCCTTAAATTCTGCCATCTGTACATGCATTAAAAGATGGGTCAAGGCCAGGTCATTCTGTACCTCACCACAAACTCCCCCTCCTAAGACTGACTGGCACTAAAGAAAGTCAATCAATATTCACTTGTTCTTTTGTTCAACAAAGACCTTCTAAATAATTATGTGCCCAATCTTGAGCTGGGGCTGAATGCACTATACCTACTGCATAGTAGATTTAAAACTGGCCATTCTTGGGCTGAAGGTATAGTTCAGGGGTTGAGTGCTCACCCAGAATCTTCTAGTGAGTGGCTTGGGGCATGGCTCAGTGGTAGAGCACTTGCTTAGAATCCTCCAGTGTAGAGCTGGAGACATGGCTCCATGGTAGAAGGCTTGCCTAGAGTCCCCTAATAAAGGGCTAGGGCAGAGCTTAACAGTAGAGCACTTCCCTAGCATCAATGAGGCCCTGGGTTCAATCCCTAGTACCAGTAAAAGAAATACAAAACCTCAGCATTTTCAAAGTATTCTCAGGGAACAGGAAGATCATAACTAGAAAGTCATTTCTGTAAAGTTGAGTTAAATATCCCCAGATATTTGTGTAAAGATTTGCATACAATTATAAACCTGTTTCTGGGATCAAATTCCAACCTTGGCAATCTAACTGGGCCATCTGAGCTCCTCGCTGGCTTTCGATGGCTTGTTAATCTGTATTCTCTGGCTCTGAACTAGGACTGCCAAGCTGTGGGGTGTTAAAGGTTAAGCTTTTGCTCTCTCTCCAGCTCCTCGGATGACTGCCTGGCAGTGGAGGGTGAAATGACCTCATTCATCCAAAGGAAGGCACAGAGAGAAGTTCTAAGACAAAAGATGATCTGCCAAGTTAAGGCAGTGATTTTTAAGTTCAAAGAAAAGCCAAAAGACATACTTGAGGAGCCCCAATATATAATGCTAGTAGTTATAAGGTATACTTACACCCCACATAAGATAAATGAAACCCAGCTGGCACTTTTCTGAGCCAACTCCTGGACATTCTTTAAGGAAGTAGGTAGCTGTTCCCCTTGCCTACAACCTAGGGCTGTTGTGTTATTTCCTCTAACAGTCTAAGAGCACCATCATTTAGTTCTCAAGCAAGATATGTTTTATAGCTTGCAAAACCTGATAAGACTGCCCCAGTCCAAGTGCTTGTGTCTGTCCTAAGTCCAGAGGCATCTCATACTTTCAATATTTCCATCTGGGATACACAGTGCCTTCTTTGTGTGTACTGCTGAGGGAACTTAATCCCTGGGCAGTTTAGAAGCCTCATATCCTAACAGCCCATAAATGATGCCATTGTACCTGGATAGCAGCTTTTTAAAAACAAGAGTAAGAATTCTCACTCTTCTCGAATGCAAGTCTCAAATGCTATGCTTCTGTTCCTGCTAAAAAAGGCTGTTGTGGGCCCTTGGGGTCTGGGTCATCTTGGTCTTAGATGTGCAATCTAGGAAATGTCCAGAGATGGATAGGGCTTGGCAGGGGTAGAGATAGAGCAAGAAGTGCCAGGAGTCACACACCTACATACATTGCAAGATGACTAAAAAAATCCTATAAGGAAATGGCTCAGTCAGTAAAGCGCTGGCTGTGCAAACATTAGGTCCTGCGTTCCATCCCCAGAATCCATGTGAAAAAGCTGGGTGTGGTGGTATGTGCTTCTAATCCCAGCTCTGGAGAGGTAGAGACGAGCTGATCCCTGGGGGCTGGCTGGACAACCAGTCTAGCCAAATTGGTGACCCTCAGACCAGTGAGAGATACTAGCTCAAGAAGAAGAAGAAAAAAAAAAAAGGTGAATAGCAACTGAGGAATGACACGAGAGCACTTCTGGAGCACACAGGAGCACACGCACACACACTCCTTGTAACTAGAGTTGTAGTGCATGGAGTTTAAACTTATTCTTCATGTAAAGGTTAAAAATGTTCTGGGAAAGATTGTAAGGGACGAAGGTGGTGGGTGACCACAAGGAAACAGTTTTCCAGACAGCTGGGCAGCTATTCATATGAACTCAAAGCAATAGTGACAGCAGAGACAAGTCCCAGGTAAGCTCAAGCCAGACAAAATTCCAGCACAGATGTGGGGAAACAGGTAAGACACCCCAACCCTATATGAAGAGCTATTGAAAATCGATGGCTGCTGGGAGAGGGAGAGTCAGTCTTTAAGGGTGTGACACCGGGTAGGTTGACCAGGCTCCAGGAAATAGACTGATACCAAAGGGCATTTGGGGACAGGAATTTGACTTGACAGGCCTTAATATATACATATACATGTATATGTGTGTATACATATGCATATATAATATAGTACATGAAATCTAGCCGGCCTAAATAAGATCAAAATATATTCTTTGAAATTCGAAAAAACTCAATTTAAAAACTGGGGAGGAGCCCGGCGTGGTGGCGCACGCCTTTAATCCCAGCACTCAGGAGGCAGAGGCAGGCGGATCTCTGTGAGTTCAAGGCCAGCCTGGTCTACATAGTGAGTTCCAGGACAGCTGGGGCTACAGGGAGACCCTGTCTCAAAAAAGACCAAAAACAAAACAAAAAAACTGGGGAGAAAAAAGCCGGACGTGGTGCTGCACCCCTTTAATCCCAGTAATCGGGAGGCAGAGGCAGGCGGATCTCTGTAAATTTGAGTCCAGCCTGGTCTACAGAGTGAGTTCCAGGCCAGCTGGGGCTACAGGGAGACCCTGTCTCAAAAAAAAAAAAAAAAAAAACCCTGTCATTTCAGATCTTGTCATCTAGCTTCTGCTAGTGGAAGCCCCTTTTCTCCATCCTGGAGAGGCCATGTCCTTTGGACTTTAGAGGACAGCAGAGTCAGTCAGGGAAATCGATACTTAGGAGGATAGTCAGAGAGAAGCTAGAGGGAGCATCGCAGAGCAGAGGGCGGGGGCCGCGAACCTTCCGAGCCAAAAGGGCGCTGACCAGAGACCTAAACACAGCACCGTCCATGTACTGTTCCATAAAGCAACGCAGATCAGAGGAAAGCGCGGGTCTGGGAGGGGCTGGAGAGGCGCGCGGAGCCGGGAGAGGGCGCGCCATGGCCGCAGGCCGGCCTCAGGTGGGGCGGCCCCGTCCATTGGGCCCCACTGGCTCCAGTTAGGGGCCGCCCCGCCTACCTCGCCCCGCCCCTCTTCAGCCCCACTCACTGGTCCCCGCCTCGCCTCGCCCACCGCTCCCCGCCTCGCCCCGCCCACCAGCCTGCTAGGCCAAGTCCACCCTTGCTCAACCCCCTTTCTGCCGGGCCTCTCAGGCCGCTTCCGAAGGGGACGCTCCGCCCACCCCGCCCCATCTTGCTTCTGCTCCGCCCACTCGCCACCTAGACCCCGCCCACCAGGACGCCCCAGGTGAAAGCCGCTGCATCCCTGCTCCCCAATCCCTTTCTGCCCGGCACACCAGGCCAATAGGCCACCCCACCCTGCCTCGACCCTCTCTTCCCAGCCAACCCGACTGCGTCAGCTGAGATCGCCCCGCCTACCAGGCCGCCTCAGGCGGGGAGGCCACGCCCCTTCCCCGCTAAGCCCCGCCTATTCCGTAAACCTCCGAATAGGCCGCCCAGCCCAACACGCTGGCCCGCCTTCAGCCCCGCCTATAAGGATACTAGGATACGCCCACCTTCGCTGGCTCCCTCTCTTCCCCGCCACCCGGGCTGCCTCATTTAGACCGCCCCGCCCACCAGGTGGCCTCAGTTGCGGCGGCTCCGCCCACTCTGACCTATTCTGCCTAGACCCGGGTCACCAGGCCGCCTCAGGTGGGGCGGCCCCGCCCATTGGCCTCTCAGCCCCGCCCACTTCTCTCTCCTCAGGTGGGGCCGCGGGACTCCACGCTCTGGTCCCGGCCGCGTCTGGAGGCTTTTCCCTCCGCTCCTCACTGACCGCCGCGCGGCAAAGTTTGACATTTTGGCAGCGGAGCCGCGCGCTGGCACTCCCGGGCTGCCGGCTGTGTTGGCGGCCGACTCTCGAGAACCCCTCATTCGCGCACTCTCGGCGCTCCCGCCGTCCCCGGGTCGGGTGGCCACGAGGCCCCGCCGCGTCGTCCCGCGCTTGTCGGCCCCGAGGCTGCAGCCATGTCGCGGGGGCCGGAGGAGGTGAACCGGCTCACGGAGAACACGTACCGGGTAAGTGTGGGACTTCGCGGAGGTGTCGGGAGGCTGGAGAAGGGAGGGGCGAGACCTAGAGGGATTCAGGGTTTGAGGCTGCGGGCGGAGGCTGGGAGGCTCAGGGACTTGGGGGACGTCGGGGGTTCGAGACCCAGAGCGCCAAGCCGGGTAAAGGGCAGTGTTTTCTATCTCTGAGATAAAGTGGGGACTTGACTTGGGCAGGCCTCGCCTCCCCTCCCCCCCTTGACCCTCAGGGACGCCGCGGCCACCTGCACATTTCTCGTATTTGGGGGGCAATTGGAGACCTGGGCGACAAGCCGGGGGTGGGGGGTCGGGGGGGTCCCCCGGGTCCCGCCTCCCTCCAACTTCTCCTTGAGATCAGTGACCGTACTGGGGTGACCACTGGGCTTAAAACCCTCCGAGATCCAAAGAGATTTAAAAAAAAAAAAAAAAGACGAGCTCGAGTTTCGTCGGAGCAAAGAAAGTGCTCAAGAATGTTGGGGAGAAACTCCCCTGTAATTAGGAATCGATCGTCAGGTGAGCTCGGCTCCCCCAGCTCAGGGAATTTTCTAGGCTGCCAGAGAGTCTGCTCTGGGGAAGACTGGAACCGCCTTCCCCCCTCTTGGACCTTTTCACACGCAGCTTTCAGTTCCACTTGGCCATTATTATAGTTTGACCATTTTCTACACGTTTACAGTGTATTAAGATCATCTTCGCCCGCGCTTGGCTTTCTCTCTATCGATTTTGTGAGGTTATTGAACTAAGAGAGCGCTGAGATTTTAATAAAAATTGACCTGAGCTGACAGAACCCGTGATCTCTTAACTTGCATGTTATGTGAGAGAATTTTTCCAGAAACAGACATAGGATTAGTGGCCAGTTTAGTAAGTTTAAGTACTTATAAATGAATTCCAGTTGAAATCAGATATGCGTTTAATCATCTGCTATTAATAGAATACAAAACAACTTTTGTTTTAATTCCACTTAGGCCCATTGAACCCCTGCGATTTAAAGTTCTCTAAATTCATTTGTAGCTGTAGTTACAAATGAATTTAGAGCCCATTCTTTCTTTGGTCATTTCTATAGATATTTCTTTTTTAACCCTAAAATTGAGTTTCTAAAAACTTGCAAAGTCCGAGTTTCTGAAATCAGAGAGAGTTATGGACTTGCTGGGGAAGAGTTTAAAAACAGCATGGAAATATTTTCATAATCTATTCAAGTTCAAAAATTTATTGATTCCTTTCATCTGATAAAGTGTATATGTACTCTAACATTTTACATGCATTATACTTTAAAGGTAGATAGAGTAGACTTTCTTGAATATCTTGGGGGTCAGCAACTGTGACAAACCTAGCCCTGTGTTTTCCTAATAGAGGGCCAGACATTTGAATGTTTAAAGCCTTACATTTAGGTTGAGACTGTTCATATTTAAATGATCTGAAGATGAGGACTGGAGGCATAGTGCTGAAAAATATGTAAGTAAAACAGTCTTACTTTTAGCCATGAGATGAGAACAGTTACTCAGATGATCGTTAAGGAAAAACTGAGGAATGCAGATCATTGCAAATTGTAAGTAGAGTCCACTTCGATAGAACACATGAGCACTCAAACATACTGCTTATTTATCTTGTCAAGAGTAGCATGAGAATGTCCGCTTGAGACAAGCAATCAGATGCTCTGAGTAAAATACCTTCTCTCACTTCTGACTGACTGAGGAGTCTTTGGAGGGGTTTATGCAAGCAAATTACAGTGTCATAAATATTAACCATTTGCCATGTCTTGGACTACCCACAGACCTGGGGCACAAGGAAAACAGTGCTGATTCCACTGTTTTGATATTGTAATTGTAGACATAAGGCAGCCTAAATCAATTTTAGTATATTGAGGCACTCTTCCTTACGTAGTCTAGGCCAGCCTATGAATTTACTATGTAGGCTAGGCTGTCCTCTGACCCATCTTCCTACCACAGCCTCCCTAATGCTGGGATTACAGGTGTGTACCATCATACCTGCTCATTTTCAGTTTTTGAAAGATCATAATAGATTGAAGCTCAGAGACCTGTACTTTATTGCTTTCCATTCCCAGGTATTTAAAGCATACCAAAAGCTTGCTAAATGCTGATTGATTTTACCCAACATTTCTGTATTAGTCCTTTGGGATCAGTTTTTGTTTTCATTGTTGTTTGTTTGTTTGTTTGTTTGTTTGTTTCTAATGTTGAGGCTGTGGGATAACAAATCACAGCACAGAGGTTTATATATCTATAAAATGAAGTAAAGGCTGCTATCCTGTAGTTTAGCTCTGATGGATAACACAGTAAACTTACATTTACTGAAGAGATTAGGAAAGCCTCATTAGGTTCTTTCCCACCCCCTGCGATCAAAGCTAAAAACAATTCAAGTGCAATATTGCAAAATTCTACTGCAATACTGGTGAATGTTGGTGAATAATGGCAATGCTGGTGAATGCTGTTCTTTTAAAAAGCAGATTTGCTTTCTGTTACCTAGCAATCTATAATATTTTCCTAATAGAAACATAATCTAACCAGGTGCAATTACAGAAGCCACCTGCAAATGAGATTTAATGTCTTGCCTGTCTGGATTTTAGATTTTTTTTTAATACTCAGATATCTTTTAAATAAAGGAATAAATTCTTTAGAAAAATGGGAGGTTTATAAAGTAGTATGATCCTCTATGCAGTTATCCGGTATCATCAAATATATATTTACACATTTGCTGAGTTTAAGAAATATGTACTTAGACAAACAATTGTTGGCTATTCATGCTAGCTCCCAGGAGAATGTGTATTGTACTGTTTCATTAAAAAAAAAAAAAAGACATAATAAGCACCAAAGTATGAAGTCCTGTTGCTAATTTCAGTTTAGTCAAATATCCCTCCCCCTTCTCACGCTTCAGTCTATAGTGTGCCCATAATTTGCCCTCAAAAGCTTGCTTGTGATTTTGCATGGTTTTCTGATGAATACAAGCCTTTGTGGGTGAGGACAAGTAAAGTTCAAAAAAAACCCCTTAATTAAGAGGAACCACAACCTTCCTAGAAGTTAGAATCGTTAAAGTCATAGGAAATTGGAAGGATAGGTGTGGTGTCGTCCAGGGACTTCCTACCTATGTGAGTCTTACTAAACATTTAGAGAAGGTAGAAAATGATACTCACGAAGGAAGGAGGGAAAGGAATGCAGACAGAGTCTTTATTCATTGCCACTAACAATGTAAGATTTATTCTACTCAAAAACTAAGATACACTAGGCATAACTTAGCCAAACCAAATACCATAATAAATTTTTAAAGGAAAAAATATTTAATATCTATGTGATTTCAAGAATTCTAGGATTGTAATCTGATTCAGTCTTCACAAAATTATATATATCGTACCAAGGAAATATTTAGGGTTTGTGTGTGTGTGTGTGTGTGTGTGTGTGTGTGTGTATATGTGTGTATACACATGCATTATGTGTGCACATGGATGTGTGGAGGGCAGAGTTTGACATCAGATGTCTTCCTCAGTCACTCCACTTTATTTTTTGAGACAGGGTCTCTTACTGAATCGGGAGCTTACCAAATTGGCTAGACTGGCTGGGCAGTGAGCCTCAGGGATCCTCCTGTCTCTACCTCCCCAGTGCTGGGATTACAGATGTGCACTACCTCATTCAGTTTTTTTTCTGTGGGTGCTAGGGATCCAAACTCGGGTTCTCATACTTCTGCAACAAGTACTTTACCCACTGAGCCATCTCCTCAGCCCCCAAGTTTAGTTTTAAAAAGAATCGTGACATTTTTCAAATAAAGCAGTCAGTATTACCTTTTTGAAGAAGCTTGTTCATTCAACTCTTTCAAAGGTGCCTATAACTCATCTCCCAACCCCACTTTAGGCACTTTACCTTTTCCCCCATAAAACTTCTAGCTGTAGACTATACTATATGATGTGTTTATTCATTATATTTGCTTACCCTCTTCCCTCTCCAACTGCAATATGAACTCCAAAGTTAAATAGTTTAGTTTTGTTGTATTTCAAGCACCTAAAACAAAGTGCAAAGTAGGTGTACTTGTTAAATGAATGCACATTTAATCAATTTAAGTGCCTGTCCTGTGTTCAGATTTCCATTCCCTCCTTTGATGTTTTTCATAGAATGTTTCATTTCATTCTAATGCTATGTCTACCCCTAAGGTAGATATGAATTTTGTGTTTATTACCATTTTTTATGATTTAATTTTTTTCTTGGCCTTATGTGTATGAGTGTTAATGCCTGCATGTAAGTAAGTGCACCCATGTCGTGCAGTGCCCACGGAGGACAGAAGAGGCTGTCGAATCCCCTGAAACTGAAGTTACAGACAGTTGTTAGCTGCCATGTGGGTGCTGCGATTCGAACCCAGGTCTTCTGCAAGAACAGTCAGTGTTCTTAACCGCTGAGCCATCTCTCCAGCCCCTCACAATTTAATTTTTAATTATGTGCTTATGGAGGCCTGCAGAAGCCAGAAGAGGGTGTCCAATCCCTTGCAGCTAGAGTTACAGAAGGTTGTCAGCTGCCTGACATGGGTGCTGGAAACTGAAATTGGGTCATCTGGAAGTATATTCTCTTAACCACTGAACCATCTCCCTAGCCCTTTATTACCATTTTAAAATTGAGAAATTGAGGTATAGAATCTGAGTAATCAACTTCAGCCTCTAAATAGTAATTTATTTAGTTTCTGTGCACCCAAACACGTTTTCATAATCTGACCGTCTAAGGTGTCATTGATATTTTCTTTCTTTCAGGTAATTCATGATCATAGACCTGTTTTAAAGACACTTTTGAATAAGAAACTGAGATGTTTCTGTTCTTATGTTTGGCAGAGCAAGCCAGCTGGGTGTGTGTGTATTTCTCTGTTTGTTTAATTTGTTTTTCCATCTCCTCAGCTTGAATTTAATGGAGGGATGTATAACTGAAAGTGTCTACTTGATTGGTTTCCAGAATGAGTAGTATACAAGCTCAGATATAAAGCTTTCTGTACTAAGGAGGCTGAGGCAGGAG